AGAGCGTAATGTGGGAAGAAGGGCACGCTTCCCCTCAATGCCTCCGGCACTTGTGCTTGCAAACCTTGAAATTCTGCAGGTTTCCGATGTGGTTGAACTCATCATTTCTTCCAAACCTCTGTTATCTAGAATTGCAGGTGATGGCTTTGAAGGAACAGGACATAGAAACACTTGGAAGGTTACCAGAGCTCAACTACCTCAAACTGGATTCCAATTACACTGCGACAATAAGCATGGGGGGGACATCTGGTGATGTTTACTTTCAGAAATTGAGAATTTTTAAGGCACCCCGTTCACTCGTGTGGTTTGATCTACATAACATCATTTGCAACGAGAAGGCTATTATGCCAAGCCTCGAATCCCTTAAGTTCACTGTCCATGTACGGTTCCTAAAAGATACCAACCTACTTTGTTTCGAGAACCAACTTGGTTTCAGGAACCTTGGAAGAACATCGCTTCAAAGAGTTGAAGCTGACATCTATTGTGCTGGTGCTCATACCAAAGAGGTGGAGGAAGCGGAGGCGGCACTGGCGCAAGCTGCCGCCGTCCATCCCAACCATCCTACACTTAAAATAGTAAGAATATCTGAGGATAGGTTGCTCTCACCTTACAAAGAGGTATGTGCACACAAACTTCTCCTCCTCCACTAATCTAGCTAAGCTAGAACGAGCTTGTTTTAGTCCAATCCAATGTGTTTTAATATGTTTGAGGACATTCTCACCCCAATTCTTTTAAGATCCACTCCTCCTCCACTAATCTAACTAGAACGGGCTTGTTTCTCTTGGCTTTAATAAGGGTCCAATGATAATAATAGCCACCTCAAACACCTATAACTCATGACGATGATGTGACACATGTTTCAAGCACTAAATATTCCAATTTTATACTTCATCAAGAAAACATAAACATCATTGCATGTCAGGGGTGGAGCTAGAGTATTGAGGGGGGTGCCCAGTAACCCGATCAAAAAAAATTTGTAGCTATACCTGACCTCTTTTCACCATGTGTGTACCCCCCCCCCCCCCTCAATACAAATTTAGACACCCTAGCTTAAACTTGATATAAAGCAAAGTAAATTAAATAAGTGGCACCCCCCTACATCTCGCTCTAACTCCGCCCCTTTGCATCAGGACGCACTAATGTTCATAAGCTTAAACAAAGTGCTGCAACCATTGCAGTTGTCGGTTGCTAATAAGCTCCTCTTAATCTCATATAACTCTAGCCGGCCACGATTGATAGTGAGGAATAATAGCTCTTCTGTTGTGGATAGAGATCACCGGCCACGATATGAATGAGTAAAGCATAATACAGTTGACACCTTTTACAATGATGTGTAAAATGTGTGGCATTAAGTGAAAAGTGGTAATAGCATTGCTTTATTGTGCAACTTTAGTCTATATAGATTATACATAGTTCAAAATGATATCTAATCTTTATTTAATGCCATTTCTAGTTCGAAGGCCTCATTATAGGTTTAACATTGGGGCCTTTAATTTGTAGATATAGTTTTATGTTAAGGCTTCTTTATCAAATTAAGCTAGTGTATTGTGTATGTTAACTTTTATTTGATAGCTAGTAGAAGATGTTGATAAGATTGAATGTAGCAATCACCTCTCTATTAAAGAGTTAAATGGGTCGTTGGTATCACAACTTGCAAGACGTGTGCAATTTAGTCATTTATCTTATAAATTGCTCAAATTGATCACTCAATTTGTTTGGGAGTGCAAATCTAGTCAAAACAGCAGCCACTCATATTGTTTATGCCGAGTTGGACGCTGCGTTGGCAAACATGGCAATGAGTTAGCGAAAGCAATATATATTTTGTAGAAAAACCGTTCTACTCTTCATTCTCTTCGCTAATTTAGTTAGTATATTTAGATCGATTTGTTATGCTCATGTGCTATGCCACGATCTTAAGTTTGATGGCATGTCTGACCGAACGGTGCTGGATCTAGCGAGTCACAATCATCAACGCTTGCCACAACCGCAAGGGCTCTGTTTGTTGTCATCTTTGTTGCTTTCATAGTCTAGGAAGCTAACGTGGCATTCACCTTGACATAAATAATACGCATGGCATATTTTTTTATAGATTTGTATCCTAAATAAATTGAGTAATCAATTTGATCGATATATAAGATGACTGACTAAATTTCATCTAGCTCACAAGTTGTGATACCTACGGCATATTTTACTCATTATTAAATCTACTGTTGATACTTACCAGTTCATTCGTTCGTAATTTCTCATTTCGCAGCCCGATAGAAACATCACTTATAAAACTGCTTTCAAAAATGTCAAAGCGCGGGTGGTGAAGGATGATGTTGGTTACTTTGACTTCCACTGGCTGCTGCATAATCCAAACATCAGAAAATTCGAGGTCTACATCGACTGTGAGGATGCTACGCTTGAGGAAGTGGAGGAAGCAGAGGCAGCTGCGTGGTGTGCAGCCAATGACCATCCCAACAGACCCGCCCTTGAAATCATAAGACGTGATGAAGATAAGATGATGCTGTTTGACATACATCAAGAGGTATATCTCTTCTCTGCGAAGTCTGATAACAAAGCCATTCGGTGAATTTAAGCCTCTTCTTAGCGCAAGTTTAATAATATAGTCAACCACTAACGTCAAATCACTTGTAATCAATTTAAGTTTTAATAGCATAGCCGACTACTAGCTTTAAATCATCTATATTCAATCTAATAGCCAATCTTGGAATCTGCGTTACCATTGACTATATGGATCTATAGCCCACTTCTTCTCTCTCTAGGCACTAGCCGGACGGTTACCCCCGGTCTAGAGTCTAGCCAGTCTATACGATACGCCATACTTATACTACCGGCATATTTTTTTTACATATATGTAAATACACTTAGCAAGTCAAAAGTTCTAGAGAATATTTGAGAGCAACAAAAGATGGTATTTAATGTTTACCTTATTTTGCAAGAATGAATCTTCAATTAGCTTCAAATTCAAACCTTGCACATCCTCAAACTCATCCTAACATTTTAAATTGTGTTCCCGAAACAAGAAAATGTCACATGTTACTAACTTTGTATTGCGGGTGGTGTGGTTGTGGCGGTTGTTGGTGGAATGGGGGAAAAATGAGATTTACTCCATCCAAACCCTAACCTAAACCATCTGAGCCTTGGCGGGCCAGAAAATTTGAGCTCCTGCACGTCAAATGTTTTGGGTCCATCGCCTAGACCATGGTCTACACGTCATTTTTTTGGTCTAGACTCAGCTAGGCGTGGTCTAATTACTTGGTCTAGACGATCTTCGACCGTTTTTGACTGTCTAGACAAGAAAATGGTCTAGAGCACAGTTTAGGCCCTAAACGAGACGAAAACCTGTAGTAGTCTCGCGTCTAGACGTGGTCTAGACGGTCTAGACCATGGTCTAGGCTTTATTTGACCAATGGGAGAAAGAGAAAGATCGTTCCTACAGCTTTTGGTTGAGAAGAACCAGCTGAGAAATGCCCCGAAATCTAGCCTCCCACACACGAATTCACCCCCATGTGGATCGATTATTAACCGTGCTTTGAGGTCTCTACCCGCTACACGAGAGCTCATCCTCAACAGGTCAATTCTTAACACGTGTTTTTATGAGGGACCAGTGACCGACTATTTTTAACCAAGCCTCAATTCACCTACATGAGGAGTCGAACCAGAACCTAAAGGCACAACTTAAGCTTGAAATATCAGACAAAAGTTGAAGAAATTATGGTAATTTTTCGCTAAATTCAAGAAAAAATGAGCATTTTGACCAGAAGAAACTCCTACATGTCCACCGGTAAGCCCGATATCAGAAATTCCAAACCAAAATTGTAAACCTTGTATACACATCGCATATAGGTATTTAAACATATATTGATGTTCAAGTTTTTAAGTTTGACTTGAAACTTATCCCAAATGGCATGTTCTCATGATCGGGTGGAATAGTTTACGTACAAGATAACACACGTACGCAATTCTAGCTTTATTCTTCTTTTCATCTATATATTCATGGTGTTTCTTCGTGTAAATCTTATATTGATTTTCTCATTCTCAGCCTGAAGTTGTTCATCGTGATGTCAATGTGCGCAAGACAAAGGATTCTCTTGGCTGTATTGGAATCTATATATTCAGAAGTTCAGCGTCTCGATCAACTATGAGAATGCTAGTCTTGAAGAGGTGGAGGAGGCAGAGGCAGCTGCAAGATATGCAGTCGACGTCCATCTTAACCGTCCAACACTAGAACTAAAGAGATACGGTGAAAAAAAGATGGCGTTATCTGACCAAGACCAAACAGAGCAGAAGCCTTGTACCACTCTGTAATATCTACACGGTTAAGGACAGTCTATAGATTTTAACTGGATATTGGCAAGGGGTATTTAAATTAGAATTGGCCATTAACTTTTAATATCATGTTGAATCACTAGTTTTATTAAAAAAATAGAGTAAGTATGAAAAATATAAGTTAGACTTAAAGTTTTCTTAAATGATAAAACAAATCATAATAAAATAAATAATACTATATTATACCATCTATTAAAATATGGTGGAAGTAAAGGATGCGAGTCCCTAACAAACGAGATTCACACTCATAAGACAACACGTTAAAGCCTCGTCGGAAGAGACATTATACTTGAACCCAGGGTGCTCCTGCCACCACGCTTCGTCTAAGTACACTGAAATATTTTCATGGGCCAATTTACCATTCCAGGTGAAAATCGTCTCACTTGATATCTGGGGTGACACTTTTTAGTACATACCAAAACATACAAATTCTTAATTGGATGTGCATATTAATAAAATGCATTTCTTTTGTGTGCTAATTTATTATGTGTGTTTCTGGATTTTTCTTGTATGGCATATTTGTGTTATGGCAACAAGCAACGTTGCATAACAATGATCACATGTTATATCAATTCATCCATTTAATTTAATTCCAACTTCATATTCAACAAACGAAGGGTCGGCAGAATAGAGCTCAGCAGATACGGATCAATTCTCGACTGGAGTCAATCGGAAAATATCATACCTTTGATTCAAAGGATGAACAAACATGATGCTTTGTATCAAGTGCGTAGTTAATAGGCTGTTGTATTAGTGGGAGCGTGTTTTCCCATGTTCAAAAGCAAGAACATGAAAGCTAAGGAACGACAAATTGTTGTTTACTACACATCTTATCATGACCGATTTCATCGGTAGAATGTCATCTTACAGAGACTACATATACAAACTCTGGTGTCAAGCAGAATAATGGAAGAAAAGGTGCACTGAGGTTATATCTTTGATGTTGCGTCTTTGATCTCCTCCAAGGTTATAGCCTGCAATATGCATAGAGTATATATAAGGAAAAATAAAATTACTTTGAGGAATTTGTAGAAATGACGTTCATGCAATGACAACGGAGAGCTAGATGGTATCTGTGAAGAAAACATTGTGAAAAAGGAGCATGCCTGGTCTTGTCCAGCAAAGTCATTGTCGGGGGTAAGAAAAAGCATGCAATGGCATTCCTTCCTGCAAAAGTTGATCAACCAATTGAAAACAGATGGGTCCAACAGCTCATCATATTCATTATTTCATTTATATCTATGTCCATTATAACAAAAAAATAAGGGCCAGAAGAGACTATGTTCCTAAGTCATCGGTATATATGTAGGACACATGGTTTCAAAAGTCATGATGATATTACTGAGGAACGTCTTTATCAAAACATCTATGCTTCTCACTTTGGGCAATCAGCAATAATCTACAGCAGATTCGTTTGTGCTCTCTTAGAAATGCATATGCCTCCACAAATACTATGAAATCGGAACAAAGAAACAGTGAAACCTCACCATGTTCCGCGCCTATAACTAAACCACAAATAGCATCACAACATTATTTATGCACTATCATAGTTGTTAAAACAAGAGTTATAAAGAACTGGACCTCTCACGCATGGGAACACAAGGGCAGTTCCAAAATCCTTGTGCTACCTCAGCAGCTTTGTCATCATAATGCCTGATTTAAATTTACACCGTGAAAAGCAGGAACAGTAAGTAACTGTCGTAATCAACCCGAAGAAGAATTAGAGAGTGGACACAGCACGTAAGATAAATTACCTACAAGGGCATAGAGGAGCTCCAAGTTGATCCTTGTGATCAGCAAGTCCCTGCAAAAATATTTTTAGTTGCTATTCAGAATCAAGAAGACACAGAAGGCAATCCTTAATTTTATACTTTTTACCAAGAAAGGGCTGGAACAATGACAACAGTCCACAGTTTATATTAAAATAAAAACAAGATGACTTCTCTCCTGTGATTAAACCAGAGTAGAGGAGCTGATTGTCAAGCTGATGGAGTTTTATCAGTTGGTATCAAGGAATGGCCCCAGTGGTTCCAAGAGTTAGCTAAAGGGATTGTGAATAGTGGTAGATTGTGATTCCCTTTTATTATCATTTGCGCTCATTTACCATGTCCTTTATACATTGGCTTGCTGGTTTACAACATTGATGGATCATTTGTTCCCCTCAATTGACACTATGGCCACAATGCAAGAGCTTAATCATGCCCTCTAAGCATTCACCAGTTTACTAACCCCTTGGAGTGTCACTGACAAGAAAATCCTACATAACACTCATAACTTTTTTGACCTTCTCGCCCATACCCAAACACTGTCTGATGATCGGCTGTGTCTTTGACCAAGTTACAGGTATGATTTCCATGGTCAACACACAACTACTTAGTCTTGTTAGTGACTCAGTGTCCGCAATGTACCAAATCAGTCACTGCAATGAAAGCGAAAAGAAATTATGTACCAACGGATAACAACAGTTCAAGAATATCAAGGTCTCAGTCCACAGAGTAGGCACATGAGGCAATAAATCAATGTAATATTGTTTTCTCGATGCTAGCTGTATGAGATTAGAAGAAAAGCTCTAATGTGAGAACAAATTTCCTTTTTGTTTAACCTTGATACATCTTAGCAAAATATGACTTAAATACTCCATTGAGATTGTAGGCAAATCAAAAGTAACAGGTACATGAGGACTCCTAGTCTAGACAAAAACTACATGGTCATAAAACTCATTCTAGTAATACTCATAGGATCCCACCAGAACAGATCCCAGGTATGACCTTAATCATCCAATAGCCCAAATACTATGCAGAAAAGTTAAAACACGATTTTTGAGTTACATATGATCCTACAATACGAACTGTCAACTCAAAAGGCATAAAGAGATCCACTATGCAACCAACAAAAAGATTATCCATGATTTAAAATGCATGTATACCCACCTCCAACAACTCAACCAACCATATCATCTATTCGTATATAGACCTTGTATCATAGCAATCGCCTTGATCTGTTTTCTACTCACGGATTTGTCACCATCTGAGGTAATTATTCCTCGCTGCTTGAGATCCACGATTTCGGACTATCAATTGGAGTACTCTTTTCTTACTCATGTTTGGGCAATTGTTGATTTCTTCTCCTTTGGCAGTTATCAGAGGAAATACCATTTGCTATTATTTATGTCTCTATTCTAGCAATGTAATTTAACAGGGAGATGCTGTCAAACTTTACCTGGGAATGGTAAACTATTTTGAGATTTGGGCACTTAGACAATGCAGTAATATGATTGATTATCTAGAGGATGGGGCTCAAATATATGCCTTTTATTATGTTGGACTTGGGTTTTCTATTTTTTTTCATGAAGAGATTGCTGTGAATACACTCTTCATATACATTTTAGTTCAGTAATCAGCATTCAGCTGGCATGCTTCACTGTTTCTGCTCTAGTTGTTTCATATCCCAAACAGCACTGGGAAAGAAATACATGTTGCATTCAAAGTTCCTTTTGTGCTCTGAAAATCTCAGGCAGTACGCAGCACTCACCTTCTACATCAATGCAACCTAGGATACTTAAAACTGTGTGTTAACTTAGCGTGTTGAACCAATGAGGTGTATGGAAGGCCTTGCTAACCAATGGAAAATCAGGGGCATACTGGCAGGTTCTCTTCTACCTAAGATTGAAGCCTACTGCATCAACTTTCAACAGCAGCAATAGGGCGTAATAATCTTCTTATCAAGCTGCAGGTACAGAACACATGAAATAGCAGCATAGAAGAATTTGTTTGTGGCTAAGATGATTTTTGCTAGTATTTGATTTGTATGTGCACGCAGTGAGATTTTTTTAAAAGTAAAGTTTAACGAGGATTCAAGAGAGAAGTAGAAAATAGATTTGGTTCCATTACCTTGATAACAACGGCGGTGACGGACTTCTCGGAACAGAAGAAGGTGTTGGAGCGGCGGGCGTACTGCTCAGAGAATTTGCGCATAATCTCGAGCGACTTATCAGATGCATCCGCTCCGGCAGCTCCAGCTGTGTACCCCCAAATTAAGCAAAAGAAATCAGAAATCGATCAGATTACAGAGTACTGCATAGATTGAGTAGACGGATACCTTGAACTCGAACTGTGCATTTGCGTCCTCTGGGCATGGGTGAAGGGCAAAAGGGGCTGGCGGTGGTGGAGGCCATCGACATCATTGCTGGACAGCAGCCCACCGATCTGCGAGATGACAAAGGTGTATGTTGTAAAAAACTAATGTTGCTCATTGATCACTCTTAAGAAACATCTTGTAGTTGCAAAAATTATGTGGGTTATACATACCCTTTCTAATACTACTGGGTTGCGATGTAATTATACTAATGGTATGTTTAGATGTAATGATCCTCAACACCTCTTCAAAAGGGAACCTAAATTAAAAACTTGGGGAGGCGCAGCGCTGACGATGACCAACACGATAACATCACCTCACCTCCCAACACGATAGCAACTAGCAAGCAGGTACGATGGAGCGCCATCCCTAACTAAATCAAACCCCCCGACAGAAATAGATCGAGAAAAAAACATAGGGAGGAAGAGGAGAGCACATGTGCATACATACCCTGCTTCTCGGATTGGGAGGGGCTGAGAGGGAGTGAGGAGAACTCCTCGTCGGCACGCGCGCGCGGCGGACGAGGGGGGCGGGCGGTGGCGGCGGCGGCGGCGGCGGCACGCGCGGGAGGGAGGGAGCGAGAGAGAGAGAGAGAGAGGAGGATGGGGAATGAAAGGAGGAGGGGCGTGGAGAGGAGAGGAGAGCCGGTAAACTGGGAGTGGTGGAGAACTGGAGACGTGGTGGAGTGTTTGCCTTTTTCGCGAGAACGACCTCGTTCTCTCACGTTTTTAGATCATAGTCTTGCGAAACTTGATTTGTCCTTATATTTTCGGAAAGTATAGGGGTGTTTTGAATAAACTTCTCTGATGATGAAGGGTTTTTTTTTTTTTTTGCAAAAGTTGAACATCGGTTTAGGCATGTTCACTTTGATGCCAAAAAAATATTAAATTTTGGTAACTTGCCAAAATTTTAGCAGGATTTCTTATATAGTTATCAAAATTTGGCAGCAAACTAAATGTAACCACTTTTTTTTTGGTAACTTTACTAAAACTTGGTAAGGTTAAAAATGACATCAAAGTGAACAGGCCCTTAGTTGGGGAAAATTTTTGGGTTTGGTTGTCACATAAGATATACAGACACACATTTAAAGTATTAAACGTAATCTAATAATAAAACAAATTAAAGATTTCATCAGGAAACTGCGAGACGAATTTATTAAGCCTAATTAATCCGTCATTAGCAAATGTTACTGTAGCACCACATTGTCAAATCATGCCGCAATTAGATTTAAAAGATTCGTCTCGCAATTTATATGCAATTCTGTGTAATTAGGTTTTTTTTCCTACATTTAATACTCCATGCATGTGTTCAAACATTCAATGTGACAGCTGTTTACACCCAAATTTAGCACCTATGTAACGCCCCGATTTTTGTTCGGGATTAAAAATCATTAAATAATGTATTTTCTAGAAATTAAATAAAATTTAAAGCAATTTAATCAAGTGAATTATTGAGGGAATTAAAAATTTCCTTTAAAAATTATTGGCCGAGAATATTTTGTAATATTCTTTGTGCCTTAAAATACTCTCTGAAATTTCCCGCGAATTTTCGGAGCTCGAGAAATAATTTGAATAGTACAAAGTTCATTTAACCAATTAAATAAAATGAAAAACAAATTAAAAACCTCCTCTCTCCCTTTTGGGCCACTCCCGGCCCAATCCCCCTTTCTCTCCCGCGGCCCGCGCGCCTCTCTCCCTTCCTCCCCGGCCTCCCCTCTCCTCTCTTGGGCCGTCGGCCCGTTTCCCCTTCCCCTCGCGCAAAGTCTAAATAACCCCCGGCTTCTCCTCCCTCTCTCCCTCCCCGACAGGTGGGCCCGGCGACCCCACCTGTCAGGCTCTTCCTCTACCTTCGGCTTCCCAGGCAGAAGCCGCCATGGACGGTCGTTGCCGCCCACGTCGCCGCCAATTCCGGGTCCTCCCGCCTGCGCCCTCGCGCCTGAACCGCATGAAATCGGTTCCCCACCACCTCCTCCACCAAATCCCCCACTTTTCCCCAATTTTCGGCGCCAAATCGAGTCCCCACTCCGCGCATGTTGACCTCCACGTCGCCGGCCGTTACCGCCCCAAATTCGCCACTCCCCGGCCTCCCCGTTGCTCCCTCGCGCTATATAAAGCACCCCCGTGCTCCCCTCTTCCGTTTCCTCTCCTCGCCCGAGCTCCCCGTGCCCTTTCCCGCTCTCCCCGCGTTGCTACCTCTCTCCGCCGACTCCGGCGAGCTCCTGCCGCCTCTAGCCGCCGCTCCCGCCGTCCCCGCTCCGCGCCGCTTGCGCCGCCGGCATCGCCGCTCCACACCGCACCCCGGCCCCCACCTTTCTTCCCCTAACCGTTGCCGAAACCCCACCGCCACCGCCGACCCGAGCTACATCACCGCCAGCCGCATCCAGCCGCACGCCGTCGCCGCCTGAGCCGCTCCCGCACCCTGCCACCACCCCAACCAGCTGCGCTGCCGCGAGAGCAAGCCTGTCCGCCACTCTTCTCCACCAAAACGGCGCCCAAACACCACCTCCACTGCAAACCGAGGACGCCGCTGCTTTTGCCGCCTCCGGCCGCCTTTCGCCGCCGGTCCCGTCCACGCTGACCTGCGCCGTCGCCTCCTTCGGCTCCGCAACGACGAGGATGTCCTCGGCCGCCGCCCCTCTTCACCGGAAATCCACCGGAGTTCCACTCCCCTCACGCGCCGATGAGCTCCCCTAATTCCTTCGCCTTCGGCTGGTTTTTCCCGCTGCTTCACGCTTTCTCCCATCCTCCTAACCATACCACTGCATTCCCCATGTTCTCGCAGCCGCCGTCCGCCGGTTCCTGCTCGCGGAACGCCGCCGGACCGCCGTCACCGTTGCCTCCCCGAGGAGCCCGTCGCCGGACCGCCGTCACCGTTGCCTCCCCGAGGAGCCCGTCCCGCTGGCTTCCCCGTTGTCGTCTCGCCGTCGCCGCCTTGGTGAGCATCCCTCCTCTCCTCCCTGCTCCCTTCCGCCGCTTGCCGTGCCGCCGCTCACCGCGCCGCCGCTCGCCGTCAGTGGCCGATGGCCGTGCGCTGCCGCTGCCGGTGGCCGTCCGGCCGGTTCGTCGCCGCTGCGCTCCGCGCCCGCACCACTGCCGGCTGCCGCCTCCCTTTGGTCCCAGCCGCAGTCGATCTGGGCCGTCGGATCGGCCTCAGTCTCCACCCGGGCCGCCCGTGTGTCCGCACACGTGGCCGCCACGTCGGTGCTCCGTCGGCGCCACGTGGTGCGCTAGCCCGTGTCTCCGTGGACTTGGTCCACGGTAGGCCAAAGCCCTTGAGTCACCGACGGGTGGGTCCCGTTTGTCGGCGCCACCCCTTCCCTCTCGGTGACATCATAAATCGAGTTTAATTGCGCAATAATTCGTTAATAATTCTAGAAATTCATTTAAATGGCTCAAAACTTCTAAAATTCATATCTAATTCATTCGAACTCAGAATTGAGCCATTCAACTTGCAAAATTCATCTAAAATTGAGCTCTACATGTTTGTTTACTTTTTATGTATTGTTTCCCTTGTTTTTATTAGAGTTTTTCCTCGTTTTGCATGCTAGCATGTAGAATCCGTCGTTTCGGAAGTTCGCGTTCGCAAGGATAAGAGTTCGGAAGATTGTTTGAAGAAGCAAGGCAAGTCACACATTCCCCTTGAGCATGTTGATCCTAATTTATAACTGTTTTACCGTTTGCAAATAAATATGCATGTTTTGCTAATTACATGGGATCTGGGTATTACCTATCTGCTCGTTTGTGCCATGTTTACTTAATATCTGTCCTTTGTCAACCCTGGGTAATAAATAAACTAGCTCATGTTACTTATGTGACCTAGCTAGAACTATATTCTTAGCCATGCTTAATTACTACTAGCTTAGTTGACGGGATAATTACAGTATTAGACCTTTTTAGTATTAGAATGAGCTGCGTGCTCGAGACATCTGGCCATACTTAATGGTCGTAATTATCCAACTAAAATGCGACTGAATGGTGGACTGTGGGTGCATGGTTTTGCTAGTCGCACCCATGGCAGTTAAGGACCGGTTCGCGGGAAACCCTGGAAGAATTCCTCGTACTTTCCACAAGCCAGCGTGGGCAACGGCTGGGCTTGTAGTGTAGCTTTCCTCTAGCTGACGCATCTAGACAAGGGTGGGCGTGATGGAGTTTGGATGGGCCCTGCGATGGCCTATGCGGCTTTCGGATTCACCTAGGCACGAGAGGGGACTGCCCGCTGCCTTGCGAGGATTGAGGGTGAAACCTAAGGTGTGGTGTGCTTGGTTAGAGGGGGTTATGCGAAGGGTCCTGTCACGGCCTCTTTCCGGTATGTCGTGGTGGCATTTCGGCGCACGGAAACATGTCGTGGGGCTATGTCTTGTGGGTACAGTTGTACACCTCTGGCCAGAGTAAAACTATTCGAATAGCCGTGCCCGCGGTTATGGGCGGTCGACCAGATTCACCGTGATTAGTCCCACCTTAATAAATCGACCCAATGCATTGTAGTTTAGGTGGGTTGGTTGGGCCTGTTCAACGTGGTGTAGCGTTGATCAGTGGAGATTTAATGTTACTTTAATTACTCAACTGTTTTACTGTTTGCTCAATAAAATGTTTTACAACCGCCTTAATGCAAATAGCCACAAACCGTCCTTGTGTTCCCCTTGCACGTTAGCATCGTTGGTGTGTGTTGCTGAGTACGGTGGTTGTACTCAGCCTTGCTATTATTTCCCCTTTTCAGAAGTGTAGTGCTTCTGAGCTGAAGGCGAAGTTAGAAGACCAAGGCTCAGACCCCAGTTGAGTTTTGCCTGTGGAGTGGAGCTGAAGCCTCGCTAGGATCGCCTGTTTCCGCTGCTGCTGCTTTCGTTTCGGTGTGAGGACTAAGTGCCTCTTCTGTAAGTATTTTACGCTTTATTTACGTTTGGAACTGTATATTACTTGTCGTTTTGTGTACCCTGGCTGGTCCTGGACACGGATTTAATACACAAAATAGTCTGGAAATTTGGGCTAAATTTCTGGGCGTGACAACCTAGGATTAAAATAGGAAAGGTTGCCAAAATTTGGAAGTCTACCGGTTTCCTTTGAGTGGGCCGGTCAGACCGTCGTGTGTTGGGCGGTCAGATCACCGATTGAGTGCCGATCAGACCGGCGGTGTGTGTGGCCGGTCTGACTGGCAGGTCCGAGTCCGACTGTGTTTCATTGGGTTTCGAGGTTTCCTTGCTCGGGAAGGCATGTTTCGGGTTTCCTTTAGTTTCTACCCCGAGTTGGACGTGGAGGAGGGCCTGTAGAGGGCAAGACCAACCCCTATATAAGGGACATGGCCGGTTCATCGTAAAAATCCAATCTACAATCAATCAATTGAATCGTTTTTTCATATTGCTTTTAGTTTTCTCTTAGTTTGTCCATCTTTGTCGGTTTGCGTCGTAAACCGTCTGCCGCCGCTGCGAGAGTGTGACATCTCTTTGTAGGTTTGTCCTGAAAACCTTCCGTTTTGCCCACGAGACGGGTAGTTATCTTAAATCGGCTCCGCTAGCCGGTTTATTTGTCAAAACCCATCTAGGTTTAGCTCTTTGCTAGATCGAGATGGTTGGCGACTCTAAGATCACTGCAAGACAGAAGGTGCTGCAATCGTTGTTGTCAACTTGTCACA